CACAAGCAACACGTCGTAAAAACGTGTGCGCTCGACGCTTGGCTACGACGTGTTGCTTGTGTGCGAGCGTGCGCGCGCAGACCGACTATCCCCACTCCATCCCCACCGCCGCGGCACCGTCCGTGCTAACGTTCACGGCTGGGAACACTGTTCCACCCTTCCACCTTTAAAGCAAAATTGTGAACCAGGTGTCATCGCCAAGTTGACCTCTCCTTAAGTTCAAACGCGAAGTTGCGTAGGTCGACAAACAATTATCGTGCATTCTGCAACTGCTGGTGCTGGGCTTTCGTACGTGGTTTCTACGAGTTACTACAGTATTGTAATCTGAAATAGGACGATCTCGATGGTAAAAGCATCCGCAGTGAGGTGTATTGTTACTGCTACTCTCGGAACGAGATTAAGCTCGGGAGAATCGCGAGAAGGGCCGGAGGAAAATGATCGAGCACCATTTTCCGCCGTTGAAAAACGATCGGATACTCAAGGCGGCGCGCGGGGAGCCGGTTGACAGGGTTCCGGTTTGGGTTATGAGGCAAGCGGGCAGGTACCTGCCGGAGTTCCAGCGGGTCAGGGCCCAGCACGATTTCTTCACCGTTTGCCAGACGCCCGCGTTGGCATGCCAGGTGACGTTACAGCCGCTAGAACGGTTCGATCTGGACGCCAGTATAATATTCTCGGATATCCTGGTGATCCCACAGGCGATGGGCCTGAAGGTCGAGATGGCACCGGGGGTAGTGAGTACACTTTCCCAATTACATTGTTGTCGCGTAACAGTCAAGCGATATTTATGACATTCGTTAGTACACCCTGTGCTGGTCTCTCTATTCTGTGTAAATAACAAGTATCTGTTAGGGTCCAGTCTTGCCTCAGCCCTTGGCCGATCCCAGCGACTTGGCGCGGCTCGTGCGACCGAACGTGAACGAGGCTCTAAAGTATGTCGGAGATGCTATAACATTGACTCGGCACAAGCTGGATGGCAGAGTGCCGTTAATAGGCTTCGCCGGAGCTCCTGTGAGTATTTTAATGTTATCTGAAAAGAAACCGTGGATTATGGACCAATCGAGGATTTCTTTGGCGTAGAATATCGTTCGTTTCTGCTGCACTATGTGTTGTGTGTTAATGTAAGATGATTAATTTGTTTTAGTGGACCCTGATGGGCTATATGATTCAAGGAGGAGGTAGTTCTACAATGGCAAAGGCAAGGTCCTGGTTATACAAGTATCCGGAAGACACTCACAAATTGTTACAGATGATCACGGACGTTATTGTGGATTACTTGGTAATGCAAGTGAAAGCTGGTGCTCAGGTACGTTTAAAGTGTAACTCGCGGGCCGCTTGTAGTCCACATAATGTATGCTGTAGATGTTCAACACTGACAGAATACTGGAACACAATCTTAGAACGTGTTACGCAGTATGTATAATAATTATATGAATTAAAAACATATCCCTTTTTTCTTCAAGTTATTGCAAGTATTTGAGAGCAACGGGGACTATTTGGACGATGCGTTATTTGCAAATTATTCATTTAAATATCTGAAACAAATCAGCGAACGTGTACGAAAGCAACTGAAAGAAACAAATATTCCAGAAGTGCCTATGGTAAGATGTTTTACAGATCATTAACCCCTGCAAGTCATTTGGCAAATCAAGTAGATGTAAAGTATATAAGTATTGAACGTCTGTAGATTGCTTTTCCGAAAGGCGCAACCATGAATTCCTTAAAAATTCTTGCAAAGGATCAGAGTTATGAAGTTATAGGCCTTGATTGGACGGTAGATCCTAAAGAGGCCAGAGAACAGCTTGGTCCTAATATTACATTGCAAGGTAATATGGATCCTTGTGCAATGTATTCTTCACAGGTATGTTGTATCTTTAATAAAAATATATGTATAACTTTGATTTTAAATACAATTATCTTACTATTATTTTATATGTAAAAGTCTTATACAATTAATAAATAATATACTGATTAGGAATTACAGTAATTACTGTTAGAGCAATCAGTCACTCATCTAGAAATATTTATATATTATTGAAAATATTTAATATCTTTATTGTTATTTTTAGGATGAAATTGTTGGTCGTGCGCACAAAATGGTATCAAATTTTGGTAAAACTCGATATATTGCTAATTTGGGACATGGCATTTTGCCAGATACTCCAATTCCATCCATGGAGGCTTTTATTAAAGGAGTGCATTCCGCATAAGTATACGTTTTACAATCAAAACGTTTGTTACATGCATTTGTTATAAAACACAATTATTGTTGTTAAATATATTGCATTGTTTTATCTTTTTCTTACGATAATTTTTGGGATTTTATAATATTTCTAATGTCAAAAGTATCTTTTGAATATTGTTTTTTAATAAAGGAAAGTCTTGACTTGTCCGTTCCATTACATGTTTCAAATAATCTCGAAGTATCTGCTCATTTTGGAATTCTTCGCTTAGTACAGCTTCACTCTTGAAGAGCATTTTGTATCGGCCGCTTTTAATGTCTTGCAGCATTTTAGCTTTCCGCTGTTTAAAAACTAATGCCTGCAAATTCTGCAAATAACAGAAGACATTCTAATTACAATAATGTTAAAATTGTAGGCAAATATTAGCTTCGAATCTCATAAAATTAAGGAAATTAATTGTTCGCATACGAATTATTTACATACGTGGTACTTAATAGTTTCTATTTGCATTATCTCTTGATCCACATTTGGAATGTCATCTGCTACCGTTTTCAGTGCTGTCTGCGATTCGTTACATTTGCCTGCTATTTCCTTTATTTGATTCTCTAACTCCACTATTCTACTTTCAATTTTCTTTGTGTCCTATAATAAACATTTACAATTGGAAAATTTACATCAATCAAACTTAATGTACGTTGGAATTTACCTTAACAACTTGCTTTATCTTTAACTTTTGGTCGGCAAGACGTTTACAGAATATAACTTTCTGATTGTGTTGTCCTTTGGGATCTTTCTTAAATTTGCTCATAACTTTGTCTAATATAATATCTCTTCGCGCAACACAAAACTCCATGTCATGAATTAATTTTTCTTGCGCCCTACGCAAATGTGACAAGCGCACTTCCATTTTATGAATTTCGCTTTTCATCGCTGTAATATCTCCACCGCTACTACGTTCATCTCTCAATCTCTTTATAGTTTCTTGCATTAATTGCATCTAAAAACATAAATTAAAGATCATATTTGTTCAATCAAATGTATAATATACATATTATATGTAAAATGTTACTTTTTTCTCCCATGATAAACTTTCTTGTTGCACTGCATCTAGATTGTCCTTCAAAAGTGCCTTTTCCTCGTATAATTGTTTTAAATCACTTTGTAGCTTTATTAAATTTAATTCTGCATCCTCGAGAGATTGTATCCCTTCGGTTTTTGTAATAGAATTTTTGTCTTCCAGCTCTTCCTTCAGTCCTTTTTGTATGACTAACTGTGTATTCATCTGTACCATTCTTTGTTGCAGGAGATTTAATATTCTCTCCATATTGGATTCCTCTTTATTCAGCGTTTCCAAGGCATGCTCTAGTTTCAAATTTTTTTGCTCCATAATCATAATTTCTTTATTAAGAAGATTAAGTTCTTGCAATTGTAAATCTCTCTGTTGGCTCAATGTAATCATATATCCTTCTTGGCGAATCCACAATTGCTGTGCTTTCTGATCACTTTGCTGAATTTCTTCTATATTTTTTTCTAAAGTCTTTATCTTTGTGTCAAGAGGATTAATTTCTCCATTTTCTCTATGCGATAATATCTGTCAAAAAATAAGTAATAATCAGTAATACTCTTCTAGTGTCTAACAGAAATTTCAGTTAATAACAGTTAATATGTTTTACCTCCTCAATCGTTTTATTCAAGCTGATAACTTTTATTTGTTTCCTCTCAATTGTCATGTCGTGCTTCTTGATTTCTCTCTGAATTTCATCTATCTCTTTTCCCTTCTTATCATTACTTTGCAAAATCTCCTCTAATTCCATCTTCTCTTGAGATTTACATGAATTAAGTTGTTCCAATTCCAATAACTTTTTGCCATACGAGTTTTCTGTTTCCACTAATAGCAATTCTTGTTCTTGTATGGTCTCTTTAGAATCTAATAACAATTTATTCAAATACCGCGCCGCTTTGTTATGCGCAACTTTTTCTTCTAGTTTGCTGTATATTGTATTTTCCAACTCGTTCTGCTTATTCAAAAATTTCGCAAATTCTTTATCAATTTCTTCTTCTTCGTGTAACAAATATTGCCACTCCTAAAATAAATAAATATATATTATATATTGTAATCACGTAAAAATGTTTATATTAATAATTAAATATAGATATATTCGTTAATTAATAATTTAATAAGTATACATTAATATTGTATATACATTATGAGTCAAATCAAATTCACGTTGCTCCCGTTCACTAAATTTCGCTATTTTTACTAATTCAGATTCCAAATTATTGAGCTTATAATTTCCCATCTCCACCAATTTTATATTAATCTGTATATTGTCTTCTATTCGTGTATGCAATGAAGTCAAGTTCTCATTGTTCTCAGTCTCCTTATAAGTTTCTTTCTTCAACTTCTCTATTTCCGTATGTAACGTGTTAAAAGATTCACATATTTTCCTGAAACAACATTCGCCGCTGCAGTTGCAAGTGATGGTAGGGAGAATTTCACCGAGCAACTATTATACTTTCTATTAAAGTCACAGATGCGACTCAATTACGGTACCATATCATCGCCGTCCGTTAATCCTTAAAAGTACTCGAGACATTACGTACTCACGCTCTGTATTTAGCTGCTCGTAGACTTTATTTCGCTTAGTGATATTCAGCACAACGGAATTCCAGGCGTTGCACAAGTTGACGTGCTGCTTGTGCAACGCTTCTAGATCGGCATTAACGTCGGCGATCATCTGGTTTATCTCAATTTTTTCTTTATTCTTCAACTGCAGCTGCACGTCCAAATTGGCTATCTCGGTTTTAATTCTCCACACTTCCTCCATGAGCTTGTATATTATGCAGTCCTTCTGCTGCTTCTGAGCAATCAGATCTCGCTGGATTGCCTTGTCTTTCTTCGACACCTGTTTGGAAATGGCCAAACTGTTTTCGAGCTCTGTCCGCCACTCGGAGACCTGCGCTTGCAGGGCAGCGAGCTGCTCCAATTCGCGCACGAGATTCTCCTCTTTCTTCTTCTCGTCGAACAATTTGGCATGGGTAGCTCTACGGGCATCTTTCGCATTCCTCACATACGTATCTTTCTCCTCGCGCAACGAAATCACATTCGCTATCGTATCTTGATACTTCTCAATTGTCGCCTGCTGCTGTGCTATTTCCTGTTGAGCGTAGTACATTTGTAGACCTTGCGCTTCGCGTTCCTTCTCCGTCGCTCTTATATTATCCTCCTGAAAATGTTTGCAATTAATATTCAATGTCAATAACGCTTGCATCTCACCGCGTTTGCGCATCAGACAGCTCCTTTAGCCTAGTTAAAGCAATAAGAATACTTGCGAGCTCTAATATCTCGCTGTTCAACTTGTCGTCGACGCGAGTAAGGTGCTCTCGCAGAGCACTTTGGAATTTTTTCATCAAGGAGTCGTCCGGGTCCAGGACGTTCGGCACGTTCACAGACTTGGTGTCCACCCGCAGCTTCATGACTTTGGTACCTGGCTGTTCCGCGTTACCAGCAGGAGACGGGGCTGAAGCCGCGCTCTCAGTCAAGGTATTCATCGCAAAGCGCCGTGCCGCACGGTTCTTTGTAAAAAGAAAACGCTTCTACCCTGAAATCACGTACTTGCCTCAGACTTGTGTCGGACAGTTGTTTATTCAAGTCAGATTCGTAGCTAAGGAAGTATGACATCACATCATGACAGTCGATACGTAATCAATATCTCTTGTCTAAACGTAGTCAAGCTTATAATTTAAGTTTGAGTAATAAAAATTGCATGATTAACTCGCATATGTGTGTATATGTGTGCGCGCGCGCGCGTGTGTGTGTGTGTGTGTGGCATCATGCGTGAGAGTATAAGAGGAGGTGACGCACATGCATCTTTAATTACGCGATTTCTATTATTCAGGCAAGTTCAGCTGGGCATTTTGAGGTACATACAAGTAAGTGCATTAAGATAAGATACAAATTTTGTACCGCAACAAACACACGAGATATTTTAGCGAATATAATGTATTTGCCTTCGCGAGAGACGAATTTCGTTTGAATTACCGGCGGTCGATAACCGAACGTTCGAAACTCCGGTCGCGCGCGACGGCCACGATTTCGAAAAATCCCGAAAACGCGTGTCGGCGAGAGGATGAAGGTTGGTCGAGCGACCCTGCGCGGCTTGGCAGGAGCTACGCGAAACGGATCGTCGCGAGTTACGAGAGAAACGGTTCGCGGGGCGACGTCGCGCCACTGGCGGACGCGCGGGCATCGTCTCGCACGGTCGCCAGTCACCGCTGATCTCGGCTCTTGTGGTCTCTTCCCGCCAGTCGCGTTTTTCGCGCATGCGCGACAGTAACCAGCGACGTATTGGTAAATACCGTATAATGGGCACAGATATGAGACTTGAATTAATCCACTTTACATATTGAAATACGCAATATATTAATTTACATAGTTATATTAGGCTTGTTTTCTGTTCCTACACTAGTGAACTAGTGCAATAAATTGGAGTAAGACAAGCATATTTTTTCTCATTCTAGCTTAATTACTGCACTAGTTCACCAGTGCAGGAACAGAAAACAAACC